GAGATGATAAACCAAACATTTCTGTTGAAGGGTTCGTAATGAGAATAAATCATCCGATGAGGGAGAAGAAGTTCATAATGAGAAGAACTTATTCAACCTTAACTTGATTTCATCATAAAAAGTAGGTGGATCAAGATTTCCAATAGAAGGGTTCGTAATGAGAAGAACTCATCCGATGAGGGATAATAAGTTCATAAGGAGAAGAATTTATTCAACCTTAGCTCGATTCCATCACAAAAGAAAGTGGATCAACATTTCCAATGGAAAGGTTCGTAATAAGAAGAACTCATCCGAAGAGGGAAAATAATTTCATAATGAGAAGAACTTATTCAACCTTAGCTCGATTCTATTACATAAGGAGTTGGAACAACACCAACCTTTTCTTCATTCCATCATATTAGGAGTTGGAACAACATCGACCTTGGCTCATCCATCGCATAAGGAGGTGGATCAACATCATTACTTTGTTAGAATCCATCACAGAAGGAGTTAGATCAACATTTCTAATGAATAAGTTCCTGAGAAGAACTCGTTCAACATTTCACTCGATTCTATCACAGAAGGAGGTGGATCAACATTTCCAATGGAAGGGTTCATAATGAGAATAACTCATCCGATAAGGGAGAAGAAGTTCATAATGAGAAGAAGTTGTTCAAACATTGACTCATCCACCACATAATGAGTTGGATCAGTGTTACCTTTGCTTGATTCCATCATAAAATAATATGGATCTATGTTCCCAACTAAGAGTTCATCCCATGAGAATTTGTAGCTCAAGAATTTCAGCATTTTAGGCCGGATAAAAATGGTGCTTATTATATTTGTTTCATTCTTGTTCCACAACAATAAGCAGATAGGGGTAGATGTAATCACCATTTTTATCCCAAAAAAATACATTTATTATTATAATATTATTATTATAAAAAATATAAAAAAGAGAAAAGGGGCAATCCCTGAATATCCAGGGCATTCAATGCCCCGACTGTTGAATAGGTTGTTGCCACTCTCTCCCTACCATCTTCATTCCCAACAAATCATAGATGTAGCTTTTTTATTTTTTTTTTGTTATAACTGGGTTCTATAAAACCCAAAATAAGAAACAAATAGGGGGTTTCTTATTTGAAAAAAATATTATAAAAGGGGGTTTTTCCCTCGATTTTTTCGAGCAATGAAAAACAAAGAATCCTCCCCAATATTTTATTTCAAAACTATAACAGAAAAGGAAAATGGGAAGTTTACCTCTCGATTGAACCCATTCACTGGCGACGGGAGCCATCATCAATGAATTTGAGCGGTGAGATGAGGCCTGGTGGTAAGGAGAACAACATACTCTAAACTCAGCTCGATCCAACGGCTGTCGAAGGAGATTGAAGCTTCGAAAGTTGAAAGGTCATCGACCATTTTCACGGAGTTGGGAGCTGTATCTCGTAAAAATGTGGCCAGTTCGGGGTTTTTGACATCGAAAATAGCCTCCTTAGAAATTTTGGGATTCAACAGCCACCGACGACGGTGGTCGATGCGGAAGCCAATGACGGGTGGCGGCGGAGGAGAGAGAATTTCACGCAAAAATGAACAAAAAAGATTTAGTCTATTTATATACACATCAAAACAGTGTCGTTTTAGCACTTGGCCGAGCACCTCAAAACGGTGTCGTTTTGCTCCCCTCCTGATGTTGTGCGTTTTGGTCCTAGTTGTCTAATCATGCGTGCAGCCATCACTGTTTTCTCCCGTGTTTATTTTGGTCCCAATTTTAGCTTATTTCAATCATTTTTAAATATGTTGTCCTTATTCTGATATTTACCAATTTTAATGTTTTAATACTAACTTATTGGTTTATTTTCTTTCAGGTCCATCTACTTTAATCGTATTTTTCCATTTTGGTCAATGTTCCTTTGTTTCTTGTTATTTCAAATTTGTTATGTTAATTTTATTAGTTTTCATAATGGTCGTTTCTATGTATTTGTTTTTATTATGAATATGATGCCATTGTTTATATTATTTTTATTTTGGTCACTAGTTCATGACATTTTTTCTTATTTATTTCAAATTGCATACTATTTTTTTCATATTTCATTTTAACCCTTTTAATTTTTATTAATATTCGATCATTTTACAACCTTGCAACGACCCGCCCTGGGGTATGACTTGCGTTATTTATGGACCGGGTAACATTTTAAATATTAACCCCTAACTTCTAGCTTTATTTGATTGATTTATTTTCTATTATTTACATTTTTGCCCTTTAAATTTTTGTTATTTTAATTTATGCCTTCACTTTTCAACATTTACATTTTAGTCCTTTAAACACTAATTTTTGAATTTTTTGCAATTTCTTAATTTAAGCTTTAATTTATGTTTTCTTTTATTTTGGTCCTTTATTTAAGGAACTTTAATTTCAGCTTTACATTTTTAAATTCCTTTTAATTTAGTCTTTCATAGATCGCCTATCTTGTTGGATTTTTAAATCTAGACTCCTTTAATTTTGGGATTTGGTCTTCGCTTATGCTAGAGGTTTCGAATTAATTATTTGATTCAATAATTGACTAAAATTAATTAGGATTAATATTAGAACCTCCGTCTTAGACCTAATTTCACATTTAGTCCTTAAATTAGGAAAATTCTTAATTTGGTATTCACTTTTGCTCGAGATTCCAATTTAATTATTTGAATTGCATAATTGATTAAAATCGAATAGGGTAATGTTTAGAGCCACCATTTTAGGTTTAATTTAAACTTAGTCATTTAATCTAGGAGAATTTTTGATTTGGTCTTCGCTTATGCTTAAGGTTCCATTTTGGTTGTTCAATTCAATAATTTACCAAAAATGATTAGGATTAGTATTAGAGCCTACACTTTTTAGGTTTAATTCCCTAGATTCTTTAAATCTCATAATTTGACACTTTATGTTAGGGGAATCCTTAATTAACTCACCGAGCATAATTAGGTATAATAAAAAGTTGTTTGCTTGCATTTGAACTTAAAATACTAAGGCAATGTTAATTTACCAAGGAATCAATGGAATATCTCCTGCAAGTATGCTCAGGGGGTGACTACTAGTGATTCCTGAAGTAGGTCGACATCCTTTTCAAGATCGCATCATGATTTCTTAAAATCAAGGCAATATTTGGTTATTAGGCATAATAGTTTATCTTCCGCATTCATGCTAGGTGGTGAACAGTATTGGGTTAAATAAACGAACATCATTTTCAACTGTGCATCCGTAGTGAATTTTCGATTAAATAAAGTTCAAACTCAGAATTTCTAATTTTAAATATAGGGTAATCGACTAGGTACAAATTTTTTTGGTGCTATGGGGGTGCTAATACTTCACCACGCGTAATCGACTCACGAACTCGATTTCTGATTTTTCGCATACCCAAATTTGGTATTTTTTATTAAAAAATAAAATATTTTATTAAAATTACCCTTTTTGGTGTTCCAATAACACCATAAAATGATTGGTGGCGACTCCTCGCACTTCAAAATATTTTCAAAGAAAACCCCCAAGTCGTATAATTTTTTTCCCACCCGAGCGAAAAATGGTGATGACATTAATTGTGATTTTAAATGTCACCATAAGATTCTAAACAATTAACATTCCGATTTATATTCAAAATTTTCCTTATAGATAAAAAACAAAAAAAAAAATTGTGTGAATTCCCAAACTTGGGAAACTCGGTTATATCTTCATTGTTCACACGACTTTTCATTGACTTTCCCTTCATCTTCCTATTGTTGGAAAGTATTTTTTAATTAAATTAATTATAATAAACCCTCCATAATTGTAGGTCATTTTCAATATGTTAATTATTAATTAGCAAATTAATACTATTATTAGTACTTTAATTTGTAGCAATTATGGCACAATAAATAATTAATCATATCTCATCTCCTTTTGATAATCCAATCATTGTCGAAACCGTTGTGGCTGGTGGGCTTCCAATTAAACTCCCTCGCTATCTCATACTCATATCGCTAACATGTAACGCCATTCCACCATCAGCCATGAGGATCCACTTTTGATAAATGTATCGTCTACTTATTTTAAAAAAGTAATTTAAACTTTAATTCAATTATTATTATTATTATTATTAATTATAAATTTAAATATTTTTAAATATATAATTACTTTTAGTTGAAAATTCAAAAAGATTAAAAATACCTTAGACATCATATAAAATTACATATTATTAAATTGAATGTTAAAATGAATAAAACAAAAATGTTTTTAAAATTTACAAAATAGGTTGCTTAATGTCAAGTTCCATCAAAATTATTATGAATATGATATGAGTGCATCATATAATAAATACAGCCGTTCAAAAACAATGACGTGGAAGAAGTCTATGCATTCGGGACCTTAAACGGCATCATGACCGTCACCTTGGGTTGTGATCAAAATGAAATCAAGGATAACAATTTAATTCAATAAAAATACATATTTCTTTTGTAAAATAAGTAGAATCCGAATCTAAAGATTAAGAAAATTTTGTATATAATTTAATAAATATAGTTAAATAAACAAATCTAATTAAATTAAATTTATTTTTAATATATAAAAGAAAAAACTCAGAGAGACAGCGCATCCGTAGCCGCCATTTCCACTTCCATCCCTTTGGTGATGATTAATGATGAAAATCATTACTGTTATATTTTTTACAAATATTTTATTATCCAATTAACTTTTTTTTTAAACCATTATGCTGAAAGAGAAGGAAATAAAAAGCAATGGTATAGATCAATACGCACAGACAAAAAGAAAAGATAGAGACCTTTGAAAGCAATGAATAAATAAAAAGAAAAGCCAGAAGAGGGAAAAACTAGCAAAGGTTTAGGGATTCTAAGAGCGTACAAGTCTTTTCATGTTCTTTTCAATTTTATTGTTTTTTTAAAGCCATCTTCAGACTTCAAACCATAGCAATGAACTTCTAAGAATTCCCTCTTTCAAACCTATGTCAAACAAAGCTCTAGAAAACCCATCTTTCTTTCTCGTATCAAACTCCCAAGCTGTTAGGCTTTTTTTCTCTCTTATTGTTTTGCTTGTTTAATACGTTATTCACCCAATTTTCTAACCTTGAGGAAACTTTGTCCTCACCTATATAAACTCTTCTCTCGTTCCCCATTCATCTCCACTCAAAACAAACCCCTCGTTTGCTTCAGTCCAAGATATTGAATAAAATGATGGGAGACGAGGAGTGTGTTATAGTGGTAAGGGAGTTTGATCCTAGCAAGGATGTAACAGGCGTAGAACAAGTAGAAAAAAGATGCGAAGTTGGTCCCAGCCGCAAACTCTCCCTCTTTACCGACCTCTTAGGTGACCCTATATGCCGGGTCCGCCATTCCCCTGCTTTTCTCATGCTGGTAGTATAGCTACGCACATTATCTTTTTCTCTTTTCTTTCTTTTTTTTTCTCCTTACTCAAATCCAACTCTTTTTGTTGTTCATACGTACTAAACAGGTGGCTGAATTAAGCTCCACCAAAGAAATAGTTGGAATGATCCGAGGTTGCATAAAAACTGTTACTTGTGCGAAGAAACTCTCTCGTAATACTAAAAGCAATGATCCCATTAAACCCCTCCCTGTTTATACTAAACTCGCTTACATTTTGGGCCTCCGAGTTTCTCCTTCTCACAGGTATTTTGCTTTTCCTAAATTTGGCCGACTAATCTGCCTTTTAAATACGTTGAAACGATCGATCAATCAACGGTAATCAAGAATCTTAATTTTGGGTTTTCTTTTTCAGGAGAATGGGAATAGGGTTAAAGCTGGTGCTTAGGATGGAACAGTGGTTTACCCAAAACGGCGCAGAATACTCCTACTTAGCTACTGAAAACGATAACCAGGCATCCGTTAATCTCTTCACCGATAAATGCGGTTATTCCAAGTTCCGTACACCGACCATTTTGGTTAACCCGGTGTTTGCTCATCGACTAACCGTTTCCAACCGAGTCACCCTGATCAAGCTCTCCGTTTCGGACGCCGAGTCGCTGTACCGACGGCGTTTCTCCACCGTTGAGTTCTTCCCTCGCGACATTGATTCGGTGCTTAAGAATAGACTTAACCTGGGAACGTTCTTGGCAGTGCCACGTGGATTTTATACGCAGGAGTCATGGCCCGGTTCGGATAAGTTTTTATCTGACCCGCCAGAGTCGTGGGCGGTATTGAGTGTTTGGAATTGTAAGGACGTGTTCAGGTTGGAAGTTCGTGGCGCGTCGAGGATAAAGAAAACGTTGGCTAGAACGACAAGGGTTGCGGACAAGCTGCTGCCGTTTTTCAGGGTACCGTCGATTCCGGATGTGTTTCGTCCGTTCGGTCTGCACTTTATGTACGGTTTGGGTGGAGAAGGGCCAAGCGCGGCTAAGTTCGTTAAAGCGTTGTGCGCACACGCTCATAACTTGGCGAAAGATGGAGAGTGCAGTGTGGTGGCGATTGAAGTGGCGAGTTGTGAACCGTTGAAAAATGGGGTCCCACATTGGAAAAGATTATCGTGTGACGAAGATTTGTGGTGCATCAAGCGCCTAGGGGAAGACTATAGTGACGGCTCTGTCGGTGACTGGACTAAATCACCCCCTGGACTTTCCATTTTTGTAGACCCCAGAGAATTCTAAAGTTTAACAAATTTAATACTAGTATTACTCTTTTTCTTTCCTTGTTTTTTTTCATTTTTAAGATTTAGACAAAGGAAAGGAAGGGCAAAAAATTGATGTGGCTTTTAAGATCATGTTCCAGACAAACAAAGCCTTGTGTTTTTAAGTGGGTTAGGGAATATTTCCGTTTTTTCCCATAGTTTTTAAGGGTTTTTAATTACAACTTATAATCAAACTAACATTTAAAATACTGTAATATGAATATATTAGTTATATAAAAATTGCAATACATATTTTGCCACACTTTTAGTGTAGGTACATGAAAAATGTTTCATATACTTATGAAAATCAATGAAAACGATTTACGTCAATGGAATGAATATATATATATATATATATATGTTGGTTATTTATTCGATCTTTTATTTATATATATGTATGTTGTTTCAATTGTATTGAGTTTTTTGTGAAAGGGTTGTTAAACCATCAATGTTGGGGAAATGCGATCGTTATCTTTCTCTCTTTTAGAACCACCAATTCCTCTCATTATTGTTTAATTGTCGTCAAATGTTAATTGTCGTTTGTGACAAAATCCGTATGAATATTTATATTTTTTTTCTATTTGGATTGATTATCATGAAACTTTTTCAAATAACAAAATTACATCAAACAATAACATGTAATCAAGAATATCCCTTAGAATATCACAACTCTTTCTTGTAACTAAAAAAGAAATAGAAATAGAAATCCCACCATTTGACTTTGGACCATAATCAATTATTCCCTTGTAGAAACTTTGAACATATGCTTTAGAAAGGGTACCCTACCCCTATATTTATATTCATTAGATTAATTAGGTTCTTAGTATCTTTCTAATTAAGGGTAGGTGGAGGAGAACAAAGGCCGATATGCATAAAAGAATGCAATCTTTGGTGTTGTAGGTGGATTCTTACTCTTGTTTATATATGTAAAAGAGATTGAGGTTGATGATGGGAGCCTTGGCTTTTAGCTGCTGCTTTAGTGTAAGAAGGTTAGATGTGAAATTGAATTTGCTATTGATAGGACAAGATAAGATAGATACGAGTAGTACAAATGATTTTTCGTATTTTTAATTTATTTTCTTTTTCCTTTTTTATTCGAAGTGGTTTTTGTTTAGAAATATAGGCCATGTAGGAAGTTCTATAGGATTTGTCCCGATCCTTTTTTTTTTTCCTAAAAAGACAAAAGCAACTTATTTCATCATACGATTTTAAAAATATTAATAATAAGTAACTAATACATGTTCATTACTTATTGCATGTCACTGTTCCAAGGTTCTTTGAAAACTAAAAAGGAAGAAAATAGAGATATTTTCATGAAAATTATCAAAATACGTGTCAAAACTCAATGGGTTATATATACACGTGTCCAAAAAGAAAGATAACACCAATGGCATCAACTGATAATTAACCGTGTAAACAAAAAAACGTTAAATGAATTAGTCGTGAATTGTTCATATATCATTCATATATATTTGTGTATTAAATTAAATAAATGAGTTTGAACAATTTTTTTTATATTCAATCGAATAGACAAGAATATATGTGTTTGATTTGTTTATATTCATAAATCACAAACAAACTCTTTTGAAAGCTTGTTTATTGACTCATTTATCAAATTCTCTCATTTTTTTATATTTTACATTTTAAATATTAAAGGTTAGGGCTTAATTGAAGATATGATGAAATTTAGAATTCAAACTATGAAGTCCAAGGAACTTAAGGGCTAGTGGTATAATTTCATAAACATATTCACGAACGTTAAATGAATATATTGGCTAACGTTAAACAAACATGTTGACAAATATATAAATAAACATATTAATGAATTTTAAACAACCATGTGTATGGATACTACACAAACCGGATACGAGCGTATTCAAAAATAAATAAATGAACACTAATATGATAATAGAAATTTAAATAAATAAAAACCGAATATAATTATCTTAAAAATTAATAAACAAATTCAGATATATTTTTATTCATTCAAATCTAATTCATTTACATCCCAATAATAATCACGGGATTTTGCACCCACCACTTTCTTATGAATCGTTGCTTTTAAAGGTATAAATAATCAATGCAACCATTTTACAGCATACAATATGATATCGGTTCTTGGAATTTTAAATAATAATTTATTAATGAAAAATGTTTGGCCAATTATAACATCAATACAATTCTAAAAGATTTCAAAATTTATAATTAATGTCAAATCTGTCTAATGCGGACCCCTTCCTTATTCAAGAAGGAAAATATAGAGTAAAAATATCCCCAAAATTAAAGGAACCATTATTGCCTAGAGCAGTAATGACTGACCCTTCTTTGGATCATTCAAAGCAAATATCTGTTGTATCGGCGTCCATTTCAATAATCGAATTGTTACAAAGTTAGCATATATATTATAAAAAATAATGATTAATCAAATATTTATGTGGGTAATAAACAAATAGTTAATAATTTTAAAAATAATTAAGGAATAAGTAACGATATGACGTGTATCATTTTATATGATGATAGGAAAGCACCTGCCGAAAGAGCCATGACTTTATATTCTTTTAAAAACTTTTAACTGTCCCATGCAATTAAACAGTGGTAAATACTCTTATATAGCTGTCTACCATTTTATTTTTGGTCAATAGAAAAAAAATTAATTGACCTTATTCTCATATGTAATAGAGTAAGGGGAGGTAAGATAGTAGGTTATCCCCAACGCTAAGTTGAGAACAGCTTCCGTGGGAGACCTCCAGCATTATGAATTGCCTACCGTAGGACTCGATCCCACGACCACAAGATTAAGAGCCTTGCGCTCTACCAACTGAGCTGGACGGGTAATAGAGTGTTGTATTTCTTAACGAATCCAACGTTAATCTCTTGAAAAGCTAATTTGGTTTATTAAACATCATCCATGAAGTAAAATCGTCGAATAACATTTTTTTATATTAATATATAATGATTATAAGGTAGTATTTGTTTTAAAGATTTTTAATTATTTGATAATAAAAGATCAAATACTCTTATAATCTCTAATGCTCAAACATGAAATTTTAATAAATATTCCTTTAACCATTGAAATAACTTAATGCGTACCTCAAATAAATAATGATATATTTCATATTTCGAGTACAGATAATACGTATTTCACATATACTTTTAATTTCTCTAAATTAGAAATAAAATTCTCGTTTTTCTTTCCCTCGGTTGGAATTGTTTCAAAACATATACTTTTGATTACTCTAACTTCAATTTATAAGGTTTTTTTTTAAAAAAACCCTGGCACACAACTTTTCATTTTCTTTAATATGTGGTTTCTTCCTTTCTTTCTTTTATTTATATATATATTTAATTTATAGGCAACGGCATCAATTTTGATGTTGATTACTGACATTGATATTTTTTATCATATTTTTTCTTTTGTTTCTAATAATTTTGTCATTATGATATAATTTTTTCTATCTTTATGACATGTATTTCTCTACATTTTAACACGTGTTTGGTTATTTGATCCTTCTTGTTGTTTATTTTTTTCAATGTTGGATTTGATGTCGCCCCGACTAATCAACATGACACTCATCTATTATCTCGTTGATCTTTCCTACTTTGGACCCTCGAATTGGATTAGGATATGCGGCTTGCATTCGTAGATAGTTTTCTTACAATGCTTAGCTCTGATTTACGTTTGTCGGTGGTCTTTCAGTAGTCTAATCTCTTGTTGTGGTTCATTTGTCGTAGCAATCAGATATATTTGTATCTATATTTTTTTCGAGTTTTTGGATTGATTTTTTCATATTTTTCTTGTATGATCTTTATATAATCTTAAGTGATGAGTTTCTTATTGACGATTATGGAAGAATATCCTAATTATATGTTTAGTTTACAATTCTAGTGATAAATATTCATTATAATTTTAGATATTTTTTAATTTCTTAATAAAATTACTCGTTTCTATTTTAAAAAAACATATAATTTTGATTAGAAATATTAAATTTATGCTGTACTTATAAGAAATATTATTTTAATTTTACATGACAACAAATTTTAACATTTAGTCTGAATTAGGGATGAATAAAATATAATTTGAATTAAAAAAATTAATTTTTTAGTTATTGGAGACAACTCAAATTTTAGTTTTAAATTTTGAGTTAGATTTAAATTTTACTGATTCGAAAAATAAAAATAATATTGACTTTTCAACAATTTAGTCATTGATTTTTATTGTTTCTCCAATTGCTCCTCTATTTTAAGTATATTTTAATCAAATTTAAACTAAACAATTTTAAACCATTGTTAATACTCATCTAGCTTCAATTCCTTATTTTAAAAATTAATTTTCTATTATTATTATTATTTTAATTTTATTTCACAACTTTGCATGTTTTCTTTTTTCCTCATCAATTATTATTTCATTTCAAGACTATTTTGATCAAATTTAAACTATATATTTCACTATCACAGTCATTATAGAATGCATATATAACTTAATTTCTTCTTATCAATAAATTTATTATTTCCATAATTTATTTTTATTTTATTCAATTTGATCTTTAATTAGGTATATTTTGTGCTCTTGGACCGGATGAATACGGGAGAGTATCATCTTGTACAACTGCCACGAAAATATAGGATAAACTACAAGTCACTCATAAAGGCACAAACGAGGTAAAAGAATCCAAAATTAGTCTTTTAACTCATAGCTATGAAAATTTCAGGATGAAACCGGATGAAGATATCAAGGCTATGACGGATAGATTTTCCACAATTATCAATGGTCTCAAATCATTTGGAGAGATCATTCCAAATGAGAAGCTTGTGAGGAAGTTAGTTTACTCTCTTCCAAAATCTTGGCAATCAAAGAAGACGACGATCATCGAGACTAAGAACTTAAAATCCTTGACTCTCGATGAGCTATTTGGTTCTCTCCTCACTCATGAAATGATGCTTCAAGATGAGGTAGACCTTGAAAAGAAGGATGAGATAAAGAAAGAGACGGAGAAGAAGAAGAACGTTAGAGTTTCTCTCAAATCTACAAAGGA